AGCCTCCGAGGCGGGAGCCTGTCCACGGCCACCGCCTGGAGGATCGATCTCCGCGGACCTCCACAGGCGGCGGATGTGGACACATTCGGGCCCCTTGGGGCCAGAATGTACCCATTCAGGAGGGAAAAAAACACAGACACAATTCATCTTCGATTCCCCAGAAAATATGGGAAAATATGGGAAGTGGGGGGAAAGATAAAAACCCAGAAACTATGGGACAATATGGGGAATACTTTTATTTATGTGTATTTGTTTGTGTGTCCTTGGGCTCCTTCATCCATGTCCATCGGCCGCTGGGGCACCAGGAAGGCGGTTCCCAGGCGGTGGACATGCACAAATCCCCGCCTCGCAACTTCGGGCGACTCCTCCAGATTTCAGCTTCTTGGGCCCGTCATTGGGCCCAGAGGCAGTCTGGAGCGGATCCGGGTCGAAAGGCCGTCTGCGGAGAGGTCGGGGCCTGCTTTGTAACACGTGAGCCGCTCCTGCGCATGCTCGCGCGCAGGCCGGTGGGTGGCGGCCCGCGTGCCTCCGCCCGCAAAAGCTTGCCGAGCTCATGATTCCCTCACGAGCGAGCTGCGCCAACTATCGAATCGGTATAATGTCACGAGGGAAAGAAACACAGACACAATGAATCGTCGACTCCCAGGAAAATATGGGAAAATATGGGAAGTGGGGGGAAAGGCAAAACCCAGAAAATATTGGAGAATGTGGGGAATCTTTTTATTTGTGAGTGTTGATTTGTGTGTCCCAGGGCCCCTTCATTGTTGTGGAGTCGCAGGCAGTGCGGTGTGAGCCGTGTGGTGTAAGCTCGAGAACTGCGCGGTGTAAGCTATGAGGCCTGCACGTTTCGATGCGAACCTGTGAGCCATGTGGTGTAAGACGTTGCGTGAGTTGTGGTGTGTAAGCTGTGTTGGGTAATATATGGGATGTGAGCTATGCGGTGTAAGCTACTAGAAACTATAATGTCGTGTACGGTATGCAGCGTAAGCCACCTTGCAGAACTTGAAGTCGTCGACTCCACTGCTCGCGCAGTCATCCCACCATCCCGCCCGCACCTTGTCTTGCACGACCCATGCGGCCGCGATTGCGGTGACTACTTTGCACCTCGCTGACGCATCTCGCCGACGCCATCGACGCCAATTGGTTTGGCACAACCTTCGCGGCGTCGATGGCACTTTAGTGCGGGTCGGTGACTCGGGCGTGCGCAGTATCATGATGACGACGACAACGGCGGCAATACTGATGGTAGTTGCGATGGTGTTGGTGACGATGACGATGACGGTGGCAAAGCTAATGGTGGTGCCGATGTTGGCGACGACGATGATGGTGATGTCCTTGCGCCGGTGATCAAGGTGATGGATTGATGATGGCGGCAACCGCGGCGATTGACGATGACGGTGCGGTGATGCGGCGGCGCAGAACCTGTGCGCGCGCGGAAATGCAGTAAGTTTGGTACATTCCCAGTTGCAAAACATGTCGGTTTCATCTGTTCGGGGGCAACGACAGGGGGGGATAGGCATAGGGGGGGATGCATCGACCCCCAATCGCCTAATGATCGCCGATAGGATCCCGATAGCCCAAACCTGCCTAGGAAGGTTAGGATTCACTATCGGAAGCTTATTGTCGATCCATCAGCGATGTATCGCCGACTTCAGGTCGATGTTTCGCCCCCAATCTCTATCCCCCTATCGTTGCCCCTTATCTGTGCTTGAAGGACTCTGTACGGAAGCGCTTCGAAAGCTGGTGGGGTAAGGCGGTTGTAGGCGCGCGCGTGGCCCGCAGGGTGTTTTGTTCGGATGCGAGCTCGCGCGCTGAGCGCCTGCAAGATCAGCGCGGCTTTGGGACGCGATTGCTGAACTTACTCCAAATCCCTTATTAATCGACCCCCCCTTAAAAACTGGACCCCCCTCCAAATGCGACCTAATATTCCGGTCCCCCTCTTCGACGGGGCGCCTTAAGAAACCCGACCCCCTGAGATCCAATCCAAAGAAAGCGCCCTAATAAATTGGACCCCCCCAGTAGCGCCCTAGAAAGGCGCCTTAAAAAACCGGACCCGGGGGAGGATTCATGCGAGATTTGGAGTACCTGGCTGTTTTACGATTTCAGGAACGCACGCGGACAGAACATTTGCAACAGGGTAGAAGGAAACAATTAGTGGACGCTCCCCCACTTCCCCAAAGGCAAAGTTAGCACGCGCGGGGAAGACTGCGGTGTAAGTGCAGCTCGTTCAACACACCGCCAACATCGATCATTGGGGGCATCGACAGATGAATGCGGCATGAATGTTCGCTACTTTCTTCCGAGGCCTGTGTGTGTGTGGTAAGGGCATTCCTGGTGTTTGATGTTTGTCTGCTGTCTGTTTTCGAAAGTCGTGTGTTTGGTTAGATTTCGACATGTGTGCGCGCGTGTGGACGTTATGTCATTTGTGGCAAACAATCAATGGATCTTATCCGTTTTGATAAACGAGTCTGCGCGCATTGAAGTATTTGACGGGAAACTTTTGTGGATACAGGTTGGGTTGGGGTGGTGCGATTTCGTGTGAAAAATTAAACTGTGACGCAGACTCCGATGTAAAGCGTGCTATCCTAGACGGGGCGATCAGTCGGGGGGGGGAGGTTGGTAGAGCCTTTGTTTTTTTGGGAAGGAACCAAGATGGTGTGAGCTGCGCGGTGTAAGCTATGCGGTGTGAACTATGTGTTGTGAGGTATTTGGTCTACGCCACGAGTAGCAAGCTGTGCTGTGCAAGCCTGTGTGGTGGGCGCGCGCAGACGCCAACGAGGCGCCCGCCGGCGGGCACGCGTGCCAACCCGACGAAGCCTCGGGACGCTCACCCGGCGAAGCCGAACCGCGGGACAAGCCCCCCGCATGGCACGGGGCGCTCACGAGGCGCCAGTGCGAGTACTGGGGACTCGCTGGCGAGACCCCGGCGCGATCTGGTGCACCTCCCGGAGCTTTCTCAGCGCGCGCAGGGTCTGCGGCGCGGCTCCGCTCGAGCGGCCTGCCTGCCCCTTCCACCACCCCCTCGGGACGAGGCAGCGGTTGGACTGGGGGCTCGGAGGTTGCCGGAGGGGGTCCTGGCCCCAGGTGTCCCCAGCTGCTCGCGCTTCGCGCCTTCCTGGAGCAAATGGGGTGGGTCGAGCATCGAGTCGGTATCATCCCAACACGCTAACACTGAGTGTGTTTCGCCCCCAGAGGGGCGACGCGCGCACCGAGAAATCCTAAAGTATATGCGTCGTGGCGGGCGCTTTCTGGCCACATCGCTCTTGAAGCGAGTACTGCAAGATGGGTATACGATGTGTTCAGGCAGGACGCGCGCCTCCAAGATGGACATGTAGCACTAGTATGTCTCTGTGCGCTTCATCTGGGGGAACGAAGAATGATATAAACATGAAAAGACAAAATCGGAGGTCCGCACGGATTTCTGGGATCCGCGCTGGGCCCCCCTGGCGGCGTCTCTGGCGCCGCACCTGGCGCGCTCCGCGCGCCAGGGAGGGGGGTCCAGCGCTGATCCGAGAAATCCGCGAGGACCTCCGAGTTTTTATGTGCATGCCGTTGTTTGTTCCCTGGTCGCCGAGGATATAAGGTCGCTGTTCGATCCCCGAACACCTGGCTCGAACCTCGAGCATCGGCCCTCGAGGCCTGGAGCCTCCGCCCACCCTCACGCCCCTCCTCTCCCCGCAGCTTCGCCGGCCAGGGAGCCCAGCCGCGGCGAGGGGTGGGGGGGGGGGGGGCAGGGGGCCATACCAGAGAGACCACAGGGGCGCCCAGGAAGCGCGGCCCTCGGTCCTCGGACACTCCACTCTACTCTTAAGTCGGGCGTGTCCCCCCACAGGGGGAAAAGTCAAGCATACTGCAAACATAGTCTGGGGAGGATTGTTGGACTATTTTCGATGTTTTTTGAAACAAGTGCTTTGGTCTACAATCCGCCTGTAGGAGCAGATGCCCGACCTAACTCTACTCCCACCCCCCCTCCCCCCGGCCGTGAAGGAGGGGTCCTGAGGGAAACGGGTCCTAGACCTGGGAGAGTTACTCTCGGATCGGAGGGCACCGTCTGTATCGCAGGCCTCCAGGTTGACACCATCACCAATATCGGCGGTGTGCCTCCACCGAGGGACGAAGCTCCCGATCTCGGTGCTGGTGGTCATCTTGTGGCTTCCAGTGTGACCGAAATGTTACCACCAACACCGACATCTAGGATCATGCTCCCCCTTGTGGAGGCAACACCCCGTGTTCGTGTTGGTGCCCACTTCCAGGCTTCCAAAATGCTCACTCGCGCCGAGCCTGGCCAGGCCGATCCTGGGCCCCCGGGGCGGTGCACATGCCCTTCCCGCCCAGGCCAGGACGGCAGAATTCAGGAGGAAAAGACTCACGCAGACACAACGAATCGTCGACTCCCAGGAAAAAAATTGGAAATACGGAGCGTAGGGGGGAAGACAGAAACGGAGAAATATGGGAAAATATGGTGAATCCTGTTCTTTGTGTGTATTTATTTGTGTGTCCTATAGGGCCCCTTCAAGGACGGCGCAGTCCGCCGACCCTGTTCCCGGGATCGTCCTGGCCAACGGGATCGTCGGAGCTCTGGATCCGGGGTGATGGGCCTGCTTTCCACCACCACCATGAGATGGAGGGGGAGGAGGAGGAGGAGGAGGAGGAGGAGGAGGAGGAGGATGGGGGAGGAGGAGGAGGAGAGGAGAGGAGGAGGAGGAGGAGGAGGAGGAGGAGGAGGAGGATGGGGAGGAGGCGGACGAAGAGGAGGAAGAGGAGAGGAGGAGGAGGAGGAGGAGGAGGAGGAGAAAAGGAGGGGGACGAAGAGGAGGTAGGAGGAGGAGGAGGAGGAGGAGGAGGAGGGAGGAGGAGGTGGAGGAGGAGGAGGAGGACGAAGAGGGGGAGGATGAGGAGCCTCTCCCCCTCCAACTTCTGGTGGTGGTGGTGGTGGGAAGCGGGCCCATCACAGGGCCCGTCCGCTTCGTGCCCGGCTCCCCTTCCCCCCCGCCCCGCAGCCTCGCTGGCCTGGGCCCTCACGGCGCTGCGCCTGGTCGAGGAGCTCCCCCCGGACGCGTCGATGCCCGAGATGTTGCTGCATTATCGGCCACGCCTGGCCGGCGGCGGCCGCCGGCCCCAGGGGTCGCGCATGGGGGTTGGGGAGCTGTGCGCCGCACGCCCGCAAAGCGTAGCGGGCGCGGCCCGTTCTCGACACCAGAGGGGGGTGCACAGGAGGTGGGAGCGCTCTGCTTCGCGCGCTCGTGAAGCGTGGAAGGCGCGGCACCTTGTCGACACCAGAGGGTGGGGCCGGTATCCGTGGCACGCTCGCAAGGCGTGTCAGGCGTGCCGCTCTCGGCACCAGAGGGGGTGCACAGGGGCGTGGGGGCGCCATGGGCGCAGCACTTTTTCGACACCAGGGTGGGTCGGGCCGGGCGAAAGGGGGGGATTGGGAAAGGGGGGGTTACGAAATTTGCTGCATGCAGCTGATTTCGGCCTCACCGAGGGGCCCATTCCTCGATACATGGGCGCCTCCCGGCGCCGGGAGGCGCCGGGAAAATCAGCTACGTGAGCTGATTCTCAAACCCCCCCTTTGCTATCCCCCCCTTTCGCCCGACCCGAGAGGTTTTGGGGCGCTCGCTGCCCGCGGCACGCTCGCAGGCCATGGAGCTCCCCTTTCGGCACCACAGAGCGGGCGCGCCGTGAGGTGTGGGGGCCGCTGCCCGCCGCACGCCTCGCGGGGCGTGACGGGCGTGGCACTGTCTCGACGCCGCAGGGGGTGCGCAGGGGGCTCGGCATCGCTCGGACGTGTGCATTGTTCCTTCGGCGAGGACCATCGAGGAGCCTCCTCGACCACTTGGTGAAGAAACCACGCACGAAACCGACAAAAACCACAGGGAATGGACGTCCGAGCGATGGCCCGGGGGGTGATCTCCCAGCGTGGCCTCCATCTGTAGCGCGCTACGCTCGCAGGGCGTTGCAGCCGTGGCATTTTCTCGGCACTGCGGGGTGTGCAGGGGATGATCCCTGAGCGCGGCCTCGATTTGTGACACGCTCGCGGGGCGTTGCTGGGGTATCAGTTTCTCTACGCCAAGGGGGAGGTGCAGGGGGTGGGCGCCGTATCGGTCGCACGCTCAAGGCGTGGCAGGCGTGGCACTTTCTCGACGCCGCGGATGGTGCGCAGTGGGTGGTCACCGCTGCCGTGGTGCGCTCGCAGACCGTGGTCTGCGTGTCGAAGAGTTGCGCCCCACCACGCCATCGTCCAAGAAGCGCAGTGCAGGAATGAACATGACCAGGGCGGAGTGGGAGGGAGGAAGGACGGACAAGGAAGGAGCGGAGGATGTACGAGGCCCACACACCGCTGCGCTGCAGATGTCGAGATCTTGCGTAGAGGATGGCAATGTGAAGGGCGTTGTGGTTGACAGGTTGGAACAGCAGGATGCGACAACACATTAAGCACGCTACGTAACATAAGCATGCGGTATGTATCCAGAGTTCCCACAGTCGGTCCAGGAAATTTGGGGAGGTGGGCGGGTCGGACTGGGCGAAAGTCAGGGTCAACGTCAGGAGGGGGTAGGCTCAGAGTGGGGGACGCGTCGACCCCCACTCGTGTTTCATCGTCGATGTGGGCCTGACAGCGCACCCCGCCCAGCATCGTGCGGAATCGCCCTCGGGGGCCTGCCTGCGACGCATCGCCGATCCCACCTCGACGCTCTCCCCTCTGGCCCGGTCTCCCCCTCATGACGCTGCCCCTCAGCGTGGCGAATTGGGGAAGCCTCGGAAACACAACCACTGCAGCCTGGCCGTGATGGCACATGCGCAGCGTGGGATTAAAGATGACCTGCGCCTGAAGTTGCCGAGGCGTCTCCAGGCGGCTGGAATCGTGACGCTCCCGAAACATCGGGAGCCTTGAGACGGGGGTCAATGCAAACGGGGGTCAGCCAGGGCACCAGATCCTGAAGGATCCTGCGAAGACCCCCTCTGGCTGACCCGGGTCAGCGAGCCGCGAGGCGGCCGCGCATATCGGCTGACCCGGGTTTGCGAAGACCCGCGTTGCAGTTTTCTTGTTCCTGCATGGCAGTTTTTGGCTTTTCCTGCTTACCCGGGTCTGGATTGATCAGCCACGCGCAGAGGGGGTTGGGGGGAGGGGGGAGGGCTTCTCAGAAGCACCCCCGCTTCTTAGAAGGCGCGGGCCTTATCTGTAGATGTAAGGCCGGCGCCTTCTAAGTAGTAGCCTGCTTCTAAGAAGCCCTCCCCCCTCCCCCCACCCCCTTTCAGAGCCCCGAATCATCACGGGTAACTCGGGTCAGGGATAACTCGGGTTCGCTTTTCGGGAATCCGAGCCCGAGTTACCCCGGACCCGAGTTACCCCGGATGAATCGGGCGTCCAAGAGCCCCGAATCATCAGGGGCACCTCGGGTCAGGGATATAACTCGGGTTCCTTTTTTCGGGAATCCGAACCCGAGTTACCCCGGACCCGAGTTATCCCGGATAACTCGGGCGCCCACCCCCTCGTGCGCGCCGCCAAATCGACCCGGGCCAGAAGCTCCTCGAAGACTTGGGCGTTGCGTAATGGGGGGGTCATAAATGGGGGGACGGCGAGGGTGGTCCGAAAAGGTACCCAAACGGTACCTAAACGAGCCCCCTGGGGCTCCAGAGGGGCCCGAAAGGGGCACGAAAGGGGACCGTTTCTGACCCCCCCATTTATGACCCCCTCACTAAGCCACGCCCAAAAGACGTTCCAAGCGCAGGTCGTCTCTCATCCCGCGCTGCGCCTCTGCCATCGCTCGGCGGCGCCAGCTCCTCCCAAAGAGCTCTCTCGCGCGGCGCTCCGCGCGGGGTCGTGCGTCGGCGCCTGGAGCCTCGGGTGCCCCTCCCCTTTTCAGGAGGGGAAAAAACACACAGACACAATCAATCGCCGATTCCCAGGAAAATATGGGAAAATATGGGAAGTGGGGGGGGGGACAGAAACCCAGAAAATATGGGAAAATATGGGGAATATTTTTATTTGTGTGTATTTATTTGTGTGTCCCAGGGCCCCTTCACCTTTGGGGGGCGCGAGGGGGCGCCCTGCGCGGCGCCGCGCGGCGTCAGCAGGGGGGAGGGGAAGGGCGCCGACCAGGGGCAGCCGCGCGGACCTCCGAGCGCACGTGTCTCGCCGATCTGCACGGACGAGATCCTGGCATCGCTCGGACGTGTGCACGTTTTGCCGGCGAGGGCCGTCGAGGAGCATGTTTGTTCACGTGGCGAAAAAAATACATGCACGACGCCGAACAAATGCACAGGGAATGGACGTCCAAGCGATGGCGAGAAATGGGTACGGAAAGAGTGGGCACAATGCTCAACAGCGGTTCCTGTTCATTTTGAACAGGGCTCGCTGTCCGCGCCGCCGCGGCCTGTGTCTATTCGAGACGGAAGGCCGCCCGCCCAACAGCGGCCACTGCTGGTTTGGGACAACATTTGTTGGGCATTGTACCCGTTATTTCCGTACCCACTGCGGGCGTCCAAAACCGAGCGCGTTCCATTTTTCGCAAAGCGCCTGCTCGCAGACGTCCGAAAAGCATATGCCTGCATCGGTGCAGCATGTCGTAAGTCCTCCACGGCGGATCCTCTGCGAGTCGTGATCTTGCGGGTATGGTCAACCCGCATAAGAAGGATGGGCAACCTTCCCAAGGGTACCCTTGCATCCTTGCCTCCTCGGTCCATCCTTCGTCGCTTTCGCTGGCCGCGCCCCGCTCGAGAAGCTTCGACATGGGCGTCCAAGGCCCCTGCTTCATCATCGCGCATCCTTCCTATACCGGTTGACTGTAGTGGAACGCGCTTGCCTATTTCGGCGGCGAGCGAGGGGGGAAGTGAGACGGAGAGGGCCTTCTCAGAGGGCGGCGCGACTTCTCAGAAGCCCTCCGGCCTTCTGAGAGGGTTCCTGTGTCTTCGGGGAAGGCTCGGAAAACTTCTCAGGTCGTCGCCGCTGCCGTCGTCTCGCCGTCGCCGCCGCCGCCGTCGTCGCCGTCGCCGTCGTCGTCGAGGGTGGGCCAGACCGCTGCGCGGCGCCCTGGAGGAGGAGGAGGAGGAGGAGGAGGAGGAGGAGGAGGAGGAGGAGGAGGAGGAGGAGGAGGAGGAGGAGGAGGAGGAGGAGGAGGAGGAGGGGGGAGGGAGAGGGAGGAGGAGGAGGAGGAGGAGGAGGAGGGAGGAGGTGTTCGCCCGTGGGGCACCACGGTGCGCGGCGGGTTTCTCAAAGATGGGCACCCTGAGCACGGAGTGCCTGTCCATCTGCGGCGCGGAGGTGCTGTGGCAGCCCAGGCTCTTCCGGGCCACCCTTGCGGGGGGGGGAAAGGCCAGGGGCCGGGCGTTTCTCGCCGTTGGGGGCGCGACCGTTGAGGGATCGGGGTGGGGCATCCAGGGCGTTTTCCTCGAGTTCGGCTTCTAGGTCCCGTTTGTTGGGCCTGGGGGCAGTCAACAACAAAAAGAACCAGGGCAGAACACTGGCTTCGGGCAAGGCGTCGGGGTCATTGAACAAATCACATCGGCGGGTGTCAGGGACTGGGGGGCGGATCGAGGGTTGCAGGAAAGGGACCTCCTGGCCCCGGAGGTGCAAATGTCCTCCCCCCTGTTTTGTCGAGTGGGGAATCGACTGCAGAATTGATGCACCCCAGAATTATTCAATCTACGAAAAGTGCGTAGACTGTTCCGTGGATCTGCGGAGCACTCTTCCGTGTTTCTGTGTGGATTCGACGGGGAAGGCAATTTTGGGGTAGATCTACTCTGTAGCCGATAACCCAACTGGAGTTGTAGCATTGCCCCCCTCCCTCCCCGCCCCCCGTTGAGCAACGCCCGACAGTGCCGGATCGACAGTTCGGAGATGGGGCCCTGGGGGACGGGGACATCAGGGGCAACGGCAGGGGGGGGGGGCTGGCCCAGGGGGGAGGGGGGGCATCATCAACCCGAATCGCCATCCATCGAAATCGTGGCCCGGCCCCTTTTTTCGCTCAGTTGTGTATCTGTGTGCGCTTCCGCTGGAAAAAATTGTGATCCTCCAAAGTGTAGGTTCCCGCTGCATTGCCAGGCACATTTCGGGATCGGCGCCCTGCTCCCATCGTTTGAGGCTCCCGCATCGAATGTCCAACACCCCGTTTTTGGTGATCCGACATGATACAGGAGAACTACAACGAATAATCCAAACTACAGCCGGCCTGGATTATCAGGTCAACCTTGCCAGCTCAAGGGAGGGAACCTTTGTGTCCTGTGCCTCGCGACACGTGCGTTCTTGCACTCCTACGGCGATGTGGCCCTCGGAAGGGTCCTGTGTCCTCTCGCGTGTCCTGTCCAATCAAGGCCGACTGTAAATCGAATGAAACGAGTCATCCGAACGAATCCCCAAACCATACAACTTGGATAACAGCCCAGCACCCTGCCACTTCGGAGAAGAGTGAGAGGGAGGCGGGGCCGTCGGCAGTCTGGAGGATTCTGCCTTTCGGAAAAATAGAGAGAAGAAGCATTGCACAACGCGCCCGACGCAGGCGCCGAGTGGTCGTCAAAGCAATGTGTGTGTGTGTGTGCGTGTGTGTGTGTGTATATGTGTGTGTGTGTGTGTGTGTGTGTGTGTGTGTGTGTGTGTGTGTGTGTGTGTGTGTGTGTGTGTGTGTGTGTGTGTGTGTGTGGGGGGGGGGGTCGCGGTTGGGTCGCGGGGACCTACGAGGAGCATTTGTGATCACCTGTCGCGAAAGCCACGTCCGAAACCAGAAGAAGCACAGGGAATGGACGTCCGAGTGATGTCCATGGGAGGGTCGTGGGGTTGGTCGCGGGCGGGTCGCGGGCGAGGACGGCGACAATAATCCCAACGACGCGACAACACCAACAATCCCCACCGCGGAACTTCGCTTAGCCACGCGCCCAGGGACAATGAATGACCGTGCGGCTCCCTCACCCCGATACGTATGCATATAAATCTATTGTGCATCGAGCCATTTTAATTTCTTGGGATTAACGGGCGCGGCGAACTTCGGCAATTGCCCTTCTAGCATAAAGCTCGTGTGTGGGTGAATGTCAGCATGCGGGTTCATTTCTCCAGCAGCGTCCAGCAGTTCGGACATGGCAGTGGACACATCATAATCATACTACACATGTCGGAAACTGGAACGTATACATTACCAGTGGCGGGCTGTGTCTTGAATCCCAGGACCTTTTGAGGGTCTGGGACGACGCTGGGGTGGTGTATATGTTTTCCCCGATGTCCCAGGAACACACCGAAAACTGCATACACCAGGATCCCGTATACACCAGAATCCGCGTTCTTGTGCGAATTTCAGCGCAGGGTCGGGAACAGCGTCGGTGTATAGAGTTCGCTTCCCTAACATGTGCTGACCATTCTAGACGCTTCAAGTAACCGCGCCAACCCATCCTGAAACCGAGGCCCAGGCGAGTTGCCACGATCGGGGATGCGGAGGAGTCTACTGTAACATGAAGGGGACCAGGGAAGCCACCATTTCCGAGGACGGGGAGGATGGAGGAGGAATCGGAGAAGGAGAAGGATGAGGAGGAGAAGGAGGAGGAAGAGGAGGAGAAGGAGGAGGAGGAGGGAGGAGGGAGGAGGAGGGAGGAGGTAGGAGGAGGAATAGGCGGATGAGGGTAGGAGGAGGAGGAGGAGGACAAGGACAAGGAGAAGGAGGAGGAGGAGGAGGAGGACAAGGAGGAGGAGGAGGACAATGAGGAGGAGGAGTAGGAGGAGGAGGAGGAGGAGAGCGAGAAAAAAGTCCAGAGGCCTCCTCTTGGATGTGTCCGAGTTTCCTTCGGATGTCTCTCGATGGCTTCTCGGAGGCCTCTTAGGGCCCCTTGGGGGTCTCTTGGCTGTCCCTTAGAGGCCTCCTGGGACATTTTGCAGGTCTCTGGGGGGTCCCATGGGGCCTCTCGGGGCGTCTTGGGGGTGCCTGCCTCTGGGGCCTCGTGGAGCGGCTTGGGGTCTCCTGTGGCCATCCCGTGGGCCTCCTGGGGTCCTCGTGGGGGCACCTTGGGGCTCCTCCTCCTCCTCCTCCTCCTCTCCTCCTCCTCCTCCTCCTCCTCCTCCTCCTCCTCCTCCTCCTCCTCCTCCTCCTCCTCCTCCCCCTCCTCCTCCTCCCCCTCCCCCCCCCTCCTCCTCCTTGAGGATCGAGCCTCGCGGATCGAGCTTCGGGCTTCGAGAATTGGGGCGCCGCGGGAGGTCCTCCCTGGGGGGCACTGGGCCTCTTTGGGGCCGTCTTTGGGGCCGTCTTTGGACACCCCATGGGAGCCTTTCGGGCCACCTTGGAGGAGATCGATCCTAGGAGGGGTGGCCCTTCATTAGGTCCGCCCCCGGGCCAACATGTGGCCGAACCACTGCTAGTCAAATCAGAGAGTGTTGCTTCCGCGTCGAGGCCCAACAGGACCTGACACCTCGCGACCCCGCCCCCGTCCAGACCCAGGGAGAGTTGTGGGGATGGGGAGGGGCACGGTCGGACCGAGGTATAAGAGGAGGTCGGCTCGCGGAGGGTACCCGAACGTTTTTCGCGCCGAAGAGGCCGACGCCCATCGGCCACGCCGAGGAGTGGGTCCAGCTCATGACGGCCGAGCCCCCATTTGCCTCCGCCTCTTCCTCCTCCTCCTCCTCCTCGTCTCATCACTGCCCCCTCCTCCTTGCCTCCTCCTCGTTCTATATCCTCCCCTCCCTCCTCCTTCTCCTCCTCCTCCTCCTTCTCCTCCTTCTCCTCCTTTTCCTCCTCCTCCTCCTCCTCACTATCATCCTCATACTCCCTTCTCTCTTCCTCCACCCTCCTCTTCCTCCTATTCCTCCTCCTCCTCTTCCCCCTCCGCCTCCTCCTCCTCCAAGAGCGTCTTCTGCGAGTTTGGCAGCGCGGGGCACTCAAAATTGCTGCGCGAATCGCCTCCACAATCGAGCTGATGGCCGCCGTCAGCTCAACCGCTCACGGCCTCGCACGTGCCGCACCGCCCCACGAAGCACGCGTCGGACCTCGGGGCCCTTGAAGCTGCGCGCGGCCAGCGAGACGGTCCGCCGCCGCTCTCGCTGCAGATTTTGGGCTCTGCCTCGACCCGACGGGAGCGGCCACGGCCGTCGCAGCTGCGAAGGATTGCAACGAAGGATAGCAACGAAGGATTGCAACGAAGGATTGCAAAACATGTTTTTTGTTGCAATCCTTTGTTGCAATCCTTCGTTTTTGCAATCCTTTGACCCGAGCCCCCAGCATAGCATTCGCTGTCGCTACGTGCGCTCGGGCTCCGCGACCTCCTGAACTCCGGCCAACTGTGGGCCCCGAGCTGGGAAGACGCGTGACATGATCGCGGACGGACTCACCGAGGGCAGCATCGATGCATCTGCCCTCCACGACATGGACGGTGGCTCTCGTCAGCGGCCACACGTGCCGCACACAATCGCCTCCGCGTCGGCTGGCAAAGCCACCGCGCTATCAGGCCATGAGTGCCAACCGACCAACAATTCATACTTATCATCATGCATGTAGGAACTTCGTTGTGCTCCGTTCTCTCTGGAATCACCTGTCCTCCCTCATCCTGATCCCCTTTTTTCGAAAGCTCTGCCACAAGGCACTTGGTGGTTGAGAGGAACGCTGCCGCACGGCAGTTCGGGAGGGCATGTCGTCGGGAGGCTCGTCGTTGCAGTGGTCGGCATTCGCTGCGGCATGCGTGTGGCTGAGCAGATGCGCGGACACGCCGGACACGAAGGTTGCATGAAGGATTGGGCGTTGCGTAATGGGGGGGTCATAAATGGGGGGGTGGCGAGGGTGGTCCGAAAAGGTACCCAAACGGTACCTAAACGAGCCCCCTGGGGCTCCGGAGGGGCCCGAAAGGGGCACGAAAGGGGACCGTTTCTGACCCCCCCATTTATGACCCCCCCATGAAGCCACGCCCAAAAGGATCTAGGACGAGCGTTCGCGATGCCGCTGCCGCTCCCCAGCACCAGGCCTGCGCGCCGCCTGGCCGGAGCGCGCGGAGCCGCCACGCGTGGGCCGCGCGCCGCCCGGCCCGCGCGCCGGCCCCCTACCGCGGGTCGCTGCGCGTTGGCGGCCACCCGCCGCCGCGCGCGCACGCCGTCGTCGTCGGCGTCGTCGTCGTCGTCGTCGACGTCGTCGTCGACGACGACGACGTCGTCGTCGTCGTCGACGACGACGACCGTCGCCGCGCGCGCACGCCGTCGTCGTCGACGACGACGACGCTGCCGCTCGCAGCACGCCTCAGGGCAGGCCGCCGGAGCCCCCGGGACCGACTCGCGTAGCCCGTGGTCTGCCTCCAGCAATCATCGTCTCTCCCACCTACCAGGTCAAGGCACTATGCCTCCACCTCGCCCATCACGCGACAGCAGGGCCATCATCTCGTCTAAGTCTCGCGGTAGGCTTTCAGACATCACGCGCGCGGCCCGAGGTCCCCAGCATCGCGCACAGTTCTGCGCAAGAGAACTCACGCCGGCATCGCTCACGCGCGCGAGCTCTTCCAATGCCGCTCTTTGGAGGAGCGGCGAGCTACCCGCTGCAGAGGGAGAGCCCGCGCGCCGCCGCGTCGCGCGCCCGTCAGGTCAGACAGCAACGGCGTCTCCTTGCCGAGTCTAGAATGTGCCGGTGGTTGAACAGTTTTGTATATCTTTTTCCTGTGGACTCTTCTCCGCCAGATCTGTTCCATCGCCCGCGCAATCCCGACTCGAAAAAGGGTGGCGTCGACGCATATATGTTTACGTTGCGGAGAGCTAAGCGCATGCTATACATGGTTGCCACCGTGCTTTTTTCTCTGGCAGCTCCCTGGCCCCGCAATCATCCGACTGAGGTGGGAGCCTGTCCTCCTTCTCTTCCTCCCCCTTTCTTCCATCATTATTTTCTTTCTCATCCTACCGCCTTCCTTTCTCGCCGTTGCCTCCTTCCACCTTCCCCCCCGCCCCTGCGCGCGCGCGGGGGCGGGGGGGTGGATGAGAAGGGAGGAAGGAGCAGGGGGAGGAGGAAGAGGAGGCGGAGGACGACCCAAACATGCGATGTTTTGATTTCGCCAGCACGGGGTCAGAAATCCCAACCCCTTCCACGAATGTGGCTTCTCGGCCCGAGCGTCTTCATACGGCCCCGAGGCCTGGCGAAGGATCCCGGGGGCCAGCATGCGGGGAATAATTGCCGCGTGGATTTTCCGAAATTTATTGGACGTCGAAGGTCTGGCACCGAAGGGGACGAGGCGGTGGCCGATGCCGAGGAGGAGGAGGAGGAGGGAAGGAAGTGGGAGGAGGATTATAAGAGGAGGACCAGTGTAAACCCAAGATTCAACAACGATGTTGGAACAAACCCTCCTTTTGAGCTCTCCGTCGCAGGCCCCTACACATGTTCATTTCCACTGAGGGAAATGCCCCGTTGGGAGACAATCGTTCGAACATTTTGAAGCGTGCCAAAACACCACGTTCGTATTTTTCCATCGGCACGGATCGACCCGACTGCTGCGTTTTGGCGATCCTGAATCGCGACAGGACCCCATTCCTGGGTCTTCCATGCCGCGAATCAGCGTAATTGGTGCGCCCTGGTAGCCAGCTCCGCAACATCATTTTGGTCACCCGAACCATGAGCAACAGTGGATTTTTACATTCGCAAATGCGAATGGGCGCGGCGCTGAAACGAGAACGCTGTTTTGAACAACCGCGATAAATCAGCGAATATTTTGCAATTATGAAGACCAGCGCGCGCGGCGTAAAGCAGGAACCACTGTTTGGAAACGATCCGCTTTCAATCAGCGAGTCTCGTGCGCTTGTTGGAAAAATGCGACCGGCGCTAAGGCGAGCGCCACATTGACCAAATCAGATTCGTTAAGGTTCTGCTGATGAGTAGGACGAACGTGCGCATAACACAGACGATAACAACCTTTTGAACACCAGCCACCCTCGATCCGTGAAGTTTTTTGACATTGTTGAGCTTCAGGATCATAAGCCGTAAGGAAGGCTCAGGCGAAACGCCCGGCCCGCCTTTCCGACTGGCCTCGGGGTGCGACAAAATGGAGTTACGTATGGTGAAAATGGAGGGAGTGGGGGGGAGGGCAGGAAAGGATGGAAAATACGAGGACGAGGATGAGGAGGAGGAGGAAGATGAGGAGCACGAGGACGAGGCGGAGGAAGAGGAGGAGGAGGAGGAGGAGAAAAAGGAGGAGGAGAAGGAGCAGGCGGAGGAGGAGGAGGAGGAGGAGGAGGAGGAGGCGGAGGCGGAGGAGGAGGAGAAAGTTCACGTGGAGGAGGGGGAGGGGGGGGGAGGAGCAAGGTCTTCCAGGAGTTGCTTCCCGTAGCTCACCTTACCCCATCGGTGGCCGACCCGGCGGAGCCCTCGAACGCCAGCGGTGTTGCTGGGCCGGCTGGGCCAGGCGCCGCGCCGCCCTCCCTCTCGCGCCCCTCGGGGGCAATGTCAGTAGATGGAGGAGGACGAAGACGAGGAAGAGGATGAGGAGGAGGAGAAGGAGGAAGAAAAGGAGGAGGAAAAGGAGGAAAAGGAGGTGGAGGAGGTGGAGGAGGAGGAGGAGGAGGAGGTGGACGGGAAGGGAGAGGGAGACGGAGAGGGACAGGGACAGGGACAGGGCGAAGGACAAGGAGGGAGAAGAGGAGGAAGGGGGAGGGACGAAGGAGGGAGAGGAAGAGGAAGAAGAGGAAGAGGAGGAGGAGGATGTAGACGGGGAGGGGGGGAGGGAGAGGGAGAGGGCGAGTCGAGGGCGAGGGACAGGAAAAAGGACAAGGAGGGAGGGAGGGAGGGAGGGAGGGAGGGAGGGAGGGAGTGGAGGAGGAGGAGGAGGAGGAGGAGGACGACGAGGAAACGAAGGAGGAGGAGGAGGAGGCGGAGGAGGAGGAGGAGGGACGGAGGAGGAGGAGGAAGAGGAGGAGGAGGAGGCGGACGAGGAGGAGGAGGAGGAGGAGGAGGAGGAGGAGGGGCGGTGGCCGCAGCAGATCTTCCGCAGCAGATCTTGGAAGCCTGCCAAGACCTCCTCCGGGACGCGCGGAGGCCTCGGGGTGCTCGCGGGTTAGATCGCCGTCAGGCCGGCAGTTTTTCAGATTGCCGATACGGGGGTGAGTCGTACTGCCTGGGCCCCGGGCGGCACCGCCCCGACATGCGGTGTGATGCCAATGACGCTCGCGGAGGCAGCTGTCCGTCACACGCGCAGTCTTGCACTCCTCTGTGCGGGTCGTGTGTGGCGGGCCCCGTTGTTCCCACCCAGTTAGGTGCAACCGCCTGAGCAGGGCACCGCCTCTCGAGGCGTTGGGCGCCGCCGCGCGGCGCCAGGACCCCTCAGCGCGCGCGCGTCGCAAAACAAAAATGCTTGCGGGCTAGATCAAGCAATAGCGAAGCGTCCTCGCTCGCCTATAGGCCCACCAAAGAATGTTCTAAGCACCGCTTGTGGTTTGCGCGAAACGCTCTCAGAACGTTATGGCCGAGTCTGCTTTTGTGTTGTCGCACCTGGTTTCTGTCCTAAGAGCAGCGCCATCCTTCTCAGACCTCCTCCTCCTCCTCCTTCTCCTCCTCCTCCTGGCTTCTAAGGACATGTCGTGGCAGGCTTACAGAGATGCCGGGGCGGCCGGCTCCTGCTCCACTCGGGCCGGGCCAGGGGCCAGGGGCAGGCTCAGACGGGGGGGGCCCGGGGACACACGGATCAGCAGACACAGAGAACAGGATGCCCCCACATGTTCCCATACGCTCGGTGCTTGTGTCTTTCCCCCCCCCCCCCGCTCCCCATCCTTCCCCGCGTCCTCTGGGGAATCGACGATGACTTGTGTATGTGTCTGTGTCTGTGTCTGTGTCTGTGTCTGTGTCTGTGTCTGTGTCTGTGTCTGTGTCTGCGTGCGTGCGTGCGTGCGTGCGTGCGTGCGTGCGTGTGTGTGTGTGTGTGTGCGTGCGTGTGTGTGTGTGTGTGTGTGTGTGTGTGTGTGTGTGTTTTCCCTTCCCGGCTCAGAGGGAGGCGGTGCACAACGGCCCCCCGATCGCCCACGGATCGCCGAGGGGGGGCTCCGGCAGGCCCGCCCCGCCCAGGAGCGTGCGCGGCGTCGCTGTCGGGGGCCCCTCGCCGACTTGCTGGCGCGAGGCGTCGCCCGGTGCAGGCCGACGCTGCCCCCCCTCCCCCCCGAGCGTTGCGTCGGGCCTCCCCGAGCGTTGCGTCGGGCCTGTCCGTCCACAGGAGGAGTATATTCGAGAACAGTCAAGAGATCTCTCGGGGGCGAGTTTTGGAGATTGTTTTTGGGCATCTTCGGGGCCTTGTTTGCTTTATTTTTTTCCTCCAAAAAGCCCCTTCTGAAAAGGGAAACGCCCGACCTGACCCTCACGTTGCCCCCCGGCCCCGCGCGCGGGGCCCGATTGCGGGTCTGGGGCCGGTGCTGCCTCTGGACGGGTCGAGCCGCCGGGCGTCGGGGCCTGCTGCTCCCGGAGTGATTCCGGCGGGGGAGCGATCGAAGGGAAGGGGCTTCCCTTCGACTCCATCGCGGCGATCCTCAGCGCCTGGGAGAGGAGGGGAAGAGGACGACAGACACGACGACAGACGAATGACGGCTGAGGCGGTCCCTGGGAAAGGGGGGGAAGAGGACGACAGAGACGACGACAAACGAATGACGGAGATGACGACTCGAACGGACGAAGCCCCTCACACACGCCGACAGGGTCGGCGGATTTTTTCAATCCAGACGCGTTCCCTTTTTTTCGACCTCGGGGTGCCTAGAGCTCTTACGATAGGTCGATGTGTTGCGACGTCTTCGTCGGTTCGCGGAGGGTTTCCAGACTCGGGGTGCTCTCCAGCAGTTGTGCCTCGCCGAGGGCGATCTGGGGTGCCCCGATCGTCCCGAACTGTCGGTGGGGATTGGAATTACGGCCTCGAACCCAGGAGGGAAGAAAAATAATATAGGCGGATGAGGAAGATGAAGAGGAGGAAATTTATGATTACGATGATTATGAGGAGGAGGAGGAGGGGGAGGAGGAGGGCGAACAACAAGGCCAGTTGCCTGCTGGATGCCTCTGGGAGTCTCTTCGGGTATCTCTTGAGAGTTTCTTGGAGTCCCCTTTGGGGGTGTCTTTGGGGGCCTCTTGGCGGTCCTGGGGGGCTCTTGAAGCGTTTTTGGGGCCGTTTGGGGCCTTTGGGGTGTCTATTGGGGAAGCCTCCTGGATGCCGCTTGGGGCCTTCTTGGGGCACTCTTGGGAGCTTCGAGGGCCATCTTGGGGCCATCTGGAAGAACACAGGGCGTCCTCAATCAGCATTGCCCATCCAGAGCGCCTACTCTCGCCTCTTGGACCCCTCTTGGAACCGTCTTGGGGCGCTCTTGGGCATCTCGTGGGGCATCTTGAGGCCTCGGAGGGACGTCAGAAGCGAAAGGGTCCGAAGGCAACAATCATTGGTTTTCTTCATGTTCTTGAAGGATGCTTGCCTCTTGGCGGCCGCCTTGGGCGCCGTGACCTTTTGAAGCCATCTTGGAGCGGCCTTGGGACCCCTTGGAGTATGTCGGAAGCCATGAATCATCTTGCTTGCGCTATCCTGAGCCATCTTGGAGGTCCTCTTGGACTCCAAACAACGACGCTCTGACACCTCGCGGCCCCTCCCCTCCGGACCCATGGAGGGGTTAGAGGGAGGGGTCAAGTTACCCCAAGCCCGAAGCCGTGTCGCTCATTACCACCCGCCCGCCCACTACATCGTTTAGTAGCACCCGAGTCTCAGCACAGGCAGGGGCCGCCATGGACAACTATCGGGAACCAATGCAGACGCCAGCCAGGAGCGCGATGTACGCGAGGTGCGCCACACGAGCCAGGTGCGCCACGCGAGCCAGGTGCGCCACATTGGGCAATCTGCAATAGTTCGCCCGCCCAACCCTGTCAAAACCACTGCAAAGTGCCGGCGGGTTTGCGAGCACTGTGTATTCTGCGTGCGTGCGCCCGAGACTCTTGGCAGGGACAGACAGCTCGCACACAGCAGGCTGTATGCTGCCCCCCCCCCGTCCCTGGCAGCGTGAGCCCTGCACTGCACGTGTTGGAGCGGAGGGCGGGCCTGCACACGGCAGGCAGCATTTGCCGGCCCCCCGGCCGCCCTTGTCACGAACAAAAAACTCAGAGTGATCGTGGTGCGTCCGCGCATCCATCAGAGACCCGAATCATCAGGGGTAACTCGGGTCAGGGCTAACTCGGGTTCGCTTTTCGGGATTCCGAACCCGAGTTACCCTGGACCCGACTTACCCCGGATAATTCGGGCGTCCAGAGCCCCGAAACATGAGGGGTGTTTTTCGGGAATCCGAACCCGACTTACCCCGGACCCGAGTTACCCCGGATAATTCGGGCGTCCAGAGCCCCGAATCATCAGGGGTATCTCGGGTCAGGGCTAATTCGGGTTCCTTTTCCGGAAATCCAAACCCGAGTTACCCCGGGCCTGAGTTACCCTGGATAACTCGGGCGCCCAAGTCGTGGTGCGTCCGCGCATCCAGGCGACGCTGCAGAGTGCACTGTTGTCTGGCGTTTTGTTTGCAAGGGATGGTTGGGGGGTGCTGGCAGTCGCCGAGAGCGCGCTCCACTACTCGCAAAAAGTGCCTGCGCGCGAACGTCCGAAATGTACAGGTCCTCCTCTGTGGGCATATATAGTATATATATATATATATATATATATATATATATATATTATATATATATATCGCACATCCCCCGCGGCGGGTCCAGGCAGTTTGCGAGTAGTGAATTTGCGAGTAGTGGAACGCGCCTGCCCAGGCATGGCACACTGCAGGCAAAAAGTATGCTGACCTCCCCGCCGTCCCTGCCGCCAGAAATCGCAGAGTGATCGCGGGGCGTCCGTGCATGATCCAGTCTGTGGTGCAGCGTGCACTCCGTATTAGTTTTTGCAAGATATGGTGGGTGGGTGTGGCATTCCACACAATAGGTAGTATGCCAGCACCCCTGCCGTCATGTCAAAACCAAGGCGCAAAGTGATCGTGGGGCGTCCACGCACGATCCCCACACTGGTGCAAGGTGCGCGTTCTATCTTGTTTGACTAGGAGGGCGAGTGGTGTCCCGGATTTGTCGCCTGTTGGGTGGGGGAGGGGGCGTGTTTACCAATAAGGAGCAATGATCAAGGCATCTCTTTTAGACGCAAATTGTTTGGCTCACTTCCACCCGATCTCCCACCACATAAGTAGCACCCGACTCAGCACATTCAGCGGTCGTCTTTAGATGGACAGCTACTTGGAACCAATACAGACCCCAGGTGCGCGACAGTGGGGCGAGGTGCACCATGCGTGCCAGACGCGCCACGCGCACCAGGCGCGCCAGGCGCCCCTGAGGCACAAGCGTGCCAGGCACGCCAGGCGCGCCAGATGCACCAACTCCACGTGCGGAAGTGTGCCCGCATGCTCCAGCCGC